GTTCTTGGTGTTCAGATGAGAGCAGCGATGGTTGATCGATAAATGAAGAGTTAGAACGAATAAGGTAGATATATATTTATTGCTCGGCGTTCCTTCCATGGTGGCGTCCGGCTCCCGTACATCCGTTACTTTTTACGTGGATTCTGTTCTATAGAGTACGGGCACCTGCTTGTGGCGGACAATATTGGCGGTTTTATCGCTTGGGCGCAGATCTTCTACAGTAATAAAGCCATGTAAAGCCATTAAGCGAAGTATAGAACGGGAAACGAGCACACTTCTGGCACTTTCACTTAGCCTTTTATATATATATATATATATATATACTATCTATACTCATACTAATATAGCGTGTGTTCGATTGTATCTAGTACCTTCTGTGTGGCTAAACTCTCACATTTCACATAACGCTCTGGTTACTTCTGCTAACCCATATGACCTCATCGAATTTCGGCTCGGCCAGCATGAACAGCAGAACTCGTCGAGTCCGAGAGTGACACTGTCCACGCCTATTCAATTTCATCGGCAATACCTTCAGCGTGTAGGCCTCTTCCCCGATTTACAATCGCATGTCTTTAGCGTATTGGCGCGCTGCTGCTTGCTGGCTGTGCAGCCCTGCCTGATCTTCTATAAAGAGGTTCTTCAGAAACTTCGTGAACATCGACCATGAGTCGTTTAGTGAACCCAAAAAATGTGCGCCCGCCGCGCCCCGCCGCTTGTGTCCTGTTTCGGACACCAAAAGCCCATTTATTACGGGGATAATCCATACCTCATATAATTAATTATATATTATATATTCTATATAATATTATCATATATATATACTTATATATATATATAACTATAGTCATATCTTGTCCTGTCATTAACTTCACCATGCAAGCGCGGCCATGCAATTGAGCCTGTAGCTCTACGACAGCATGCCCCAATTGCCTGGCGAGCACTGAAATGGGTCCGTCGCGTCAATGCCAGACTGCATCTTCACTCCGGTGTGTTAGCGGCCACCTCTCTAAGAACAGGACCACCTGTCCGACTCCCAGGAACACTACATCCCTTTGCTGTTCTCTCACCTCGCTTATCCAGTACGATACTAGTGAAGAATCACCAGGTCTATTAAAGGAACGGACTACCTGGTTCTACTCAGAATGGACATTTTTAGGCCCGAGTTTTTTCGCATCGTGACGTTTGCTGCGTAACAAGGGTTCCTGCATATTTCTCATCGCAATCTCTGTTTAGCGAATTGCTCTGTGCTCCACCTGCGCGCCGTGAGCTTAGTGCACGGGCCCAACACGATGCTACGCAAGGACGGCAACTCCACCGGTCCACGTGAGTTTCTCTCTATATTGTATAGCTTGCGGTGGGACATTATTGCGTATTGTACCTGGCATGCGGTTAACAGCATAGTCTAATTGTACGTGGCTGCGAGTACACGTTACTCGGTTATCTGTGTACGTGCTGCTGTACACGCTTACATCAAGCTCTCTGTTTACGCTAGGCTGAGGCACACATACTTATTGTACGTAGCTGCGGCACACATACTTATTGTACGTAGCTGCGGCACACATAGTTATTGTACGTGGCTGCGGTACACGTAGGTATTGTACATAGCTGCGGCACACGTAGGTATTGTACGTAGGCTGAGGCACGCACGGGCATTGTAGTCGGTCGCTGTGTCAACTCGACCTACCAGCGCCTGTGGGAAACAGCGCTGCCATTGCGTAGCAGCTAGGCGACCTGGCCGGATGGTTCGCATGGCCTTTGTGTTCTTTGTCTACGACTCTACGCGCTCAGCGCTTAGTTGTGCAGTTGTCGTGGTGGCTGTTTTGTGGGGGTCGAGGTGGGGGGAGTACCTTATGGTGAGTTGTTGTCGGCTCGCATTTTCCTTTGTCCCCCGCTCCGGAGCTTTGCAAGCGTGGAAAGGAAAAACATGCTCGGATGATTCGCGTTCATTCTTGGCTGTGTTTTCGAGCGGGGCACATACGTGCCTCGATTCCCGTCGGTCTACGCTGAGATTTCCTCGTTGGGTCGCCGTCTCCGACACTGAATCAAGGATGCCAGCTGTGTGCGTGTGCGTGTGCGTGCGTACGTGTGGGTGTCTGTGTTCATGTGTGTACATTAGTGTGTGTTTGTGTGCGCGCGCAAACATATAAGATCACCTACTTCCTATTTCTGTTCGCGTTGAACGCCTTATCTGGTGCGTATCACCTCATAAACAGATGCATCATATGACTTTCAGTAAGAGCCTATATACTATCTGCGTGAGCGTGTTACGCCTTCGACCCGTATATAGAGATATACCCGGTGCTACCCTACGTGACTCATGTGATTGACTCAAACATCGCTATCAACTGCATGTTCAGTCATCAGTTTGAACTTCGATCGCAACTCGATAAGGAACTTCCTCGGCTCACGTAAGTGATTGCTAAGTGGAGGAATTAAGATCATCACTACAACACTCGACTGTAATACACAATGACGTCTCGTGTGCCCAGCGATCCAGGGAAACTGGCGTGGTACTACTCAAATACTAAAGTTTATCTAAAGGTAAGGATATATGGTTTTTCAACATGAAACGGAGTTCTCTCATTAAACTACTCAAATATTAGTTTGCTTAAAGGTAGGGATATACTATACGGTTTCTCTACACTTTGAAAAACGTTGTTGTTTGACCGAACGTTGAAAAACGTGGGGGTTTGCATGGGACACTAATACTAAGCGCGGTTATATGGTTATTCCTCAGTTCTAAGTGGATGACTAGTAGTACTCGGATTTCTTCTTTCTTTTTTATTAGCTTGCACTTCTTCAACTTCTTATATATGACCCCACCCAATCACATCTTACCGAGTTGATGACGTCACGCGTACTGATCGATCGGTGGCGCTTCAATTACCCAAAACGAGTTTCCAATTTTTCCGGTTTCTCTGCTCCCACTCCACGGCCATATTTAAAGTGCAATCTTTCACAATATAAGAGAACGTTCGAGGCATGACATTCAACTCGGGCTTTGTCTTCATATTTTAATATCCAGGGGCCCGTTGTCAGAAACAAAATTAGTCTTAACATTAGTCTTAAGTGCTATCTTGGCATTAACATTAGCATTAAATTTTACGATGTTTCTGACAACGGGCCCCAGCCTCTTTTGTTCCAACCAGCTTAGATCGTAAGCATTTAAATAAGATGCACTTTGACGAAATGTCTCAAGTTCAATTTTCATTGTTCCAAGATTGTTTGTAAAACGGCTTGTTTTGGAAATGGCGAAGCGTCTATACTACATATATCTTGCAAATAATCTCAAAGTGGCAGTCTCAATAATCTCAATCAGGAGTAAAAAAAACTGAATTTATTTGCTCCTAATATGTATATATATCAATAGTACATAATAGGATCTCCTATTATGTACTCTTGATATATA